CCCCAAAACCCCAAAACCCCAAAACCCCAAAACCCCTGCAAAGTCAATAGGAATTGAACTTTATCCTATCTCCTTCCCCGACTCCTGATGTCAGAGTTGCTCCTACTGTTTGGAATCTCCTGACTATCAATCTGTGGTAGGTACAACTTCAAGTTTTTTCTGCTCAAGTCATGATCAAAGGGCAAAGTCATGTTGGAAGCTTGATACCCAATATTCTTCCTGTACTTCTCTTTGATTCTGATTTTCCGAGGAGAAGTTTTCATTGGGCTAGGTGACTTCCTAAACAAAGTCCCTGGATCAACAAAGGTACCATTCATGGCAGATTTCTTGTATGCCTCAATGTAATCATGGGATTTCTTCTCTTTAATCCCTGAGATGAAGATTTTAGCCTTACTCAAGTGCATACTTCGGTAATTTTTTGCATTAGCAGCCCTAAAGATGGTAAACTGACTTACATGTTATTTATAAACCCCATTCTTAAAATTCCTAGCAACTGTCTGTTGAGGCCTGAGCTTATTAGGTGAAGATTTAGCATCATTCAGCTGTTTAATTACTCTTTTGGACTTACAGATGATTGATGTAACTTCTTGTAGCTGGTACTTTTAGAAGCCTGTTTCTTTCTTCTTCTCATAGCAGACTCCTTTTCTTCTTTTCTTTCCTCTTGCTGAGTACCCTCACGAAGATCTTGATGGAGAGAGGGTAGCATGTGCTTCCCAGGCGTAGTTGCCATACTCGGATTGTCAGAGTTCTTCCCAGTGTGAAATCTATCTGATGCAGTATTCAACATTTTAGAGCTTTTATACTCATTTTGGTTTTGGTATTCTTTGATATTCTTCCTTTCGACTTTTTCAATTTCTATCTTGTTAGCACTCTTAAGATCATCATCTATGTGAGGATCGGGATTATTCTTTGATAGCTGAGTTTGGTTACTGTCCTTATAAAGCAGAGGTTTACCGTCATGTACCTTCCCAATAACAGTTTTATCTATAAAATTAGTATTCTACTTACAGAATTTATTAGCCCTGAGATTTCCGCCATCGACAGCTCCTTTCTTGCTATCATCTTGTATCGAAATCTGCTTAAATGCTGTGTTATTAATATGGGGTTCCTTCTTAGTCAGGCTTAAGTTAATCGGTTCTCTTAATGTATTCTGTCACTGGGCTTGGCTGCTCCGTCCAGCTTGACCAACATTAGCCTTATTTGATTTGACAAGACCCTTGTTGTACTTCAAGTTGATCTTAATACTCTTATTATGCGCTGAAAGGTTGAATCCTCTCTTCTCTAACACATTATGCTTCATCGAAAGCTCCTTCAGTCTCTGAAGTTTTTTAAAATTTAGCTTCCTTCTCTTCCATCTGCTGGAGAAGTCGGTGACTCTTGTATGAGGAGTGAACTATCGTGTCACTCCTCGCGTTTGATATCTTCTCACTTGTCTTATCAATCAGATTTTTCATAAGCAGAACCATGTTGTTCTTCTCCTGAATTTTTGGAATTTTAACCTAGACATTACCTGAAATGTACATTTTTAACAATAATTTCCTTAAGAAACTGATGCTTGAGGTCGATGCTGCTAATAGTTTGATCGCCCATGATAGCATCAAGGGTCTTCATGGCCTTCTCAACCTTCCGCTGACTTTTTCTGTTCATAATATCACCTGGCAAGAAGGAATATGAAAAATTTATGGATCCCTTCCTCTTGAAATTGACTCTTCTCCGGCTCCTACTGCTGCTTTTCTGTAAACTATGGTAAGAATCACGGGAGTCTTGATAGCGAGTATCTTCTTCCTGAGTCCTCATAAATATATCACCCTGTCTCTCTTCCGACTTACTCACGAGTTTGGTTTCTCCTATCGTTGAAATGGCATTCTGAGAAGTCCCATTTGTCTTAATATTCTGAAACAACACTCTAGGTCTTCCCTTCTTCTCAGAGTTGTGGGCAAAGCCTTGGTTCATCTAGAGAAACACAAGTTAAATACTCTTGACAACTTTAGTGAATAATGAGACAAAAGTCCAAACTTTACCTGAATATTAATAGGTTTCTTCTCAATATCAACTGTGTTATAACTGTAAGGGTCATCTAGCATTACTAAGTTTTATTTCTATTATAAGTTTTACAAAAGGGGTTTTGGGGTTTTGGGGTTTTGGGGTTTTGGGGTTTTGGGGTTTTGGGG